TTCTTTTCTCTCCAATACGGTAGGAAGTTAAATGAAATGCAATGTGGAGGATGTTAACTGTGACAAGATGATTGACAGGCCAGTTTACAGTGACAGGGAGCTTGTATCTATGCGCCAGAGTGTCCGTTAAAGACGCAGTTGTGTGACGTGATAGTATGTCCCAAAGCTTGCCTACTCTTCTACTACACACTCAAAAGTGTGTACTTTTTCTTCACCAAAAGAGTACATACTTTAAGAGCGTAGTATAAGTAGGCACATTGAGATGCAGCATGAGTGTCCTACAACTCTGACTGAAATTCAATGGCGTCAAGGCTGTAATGTGATTGGTTATTAAGGGACACGTGATCCAAGTTAGCTGTTACGCTTTATCCAATAGTAAGTAACAGAGTGATTTTTTTTTATTTAAAGAGATTTACATATTAGTCCGTTTTATTCTAAGAATATGTAAGTTTGGTTTTCAAAAAAATATTAATTGTAAACGGTCTGCTTTTTCTGTGTTGATTTGTGTGTTTACACTGTGTGCTCCTGAGCTTGTCCTAAAACATGGCGGAATCCAGTGTGGCGTGACGTAGATTCCCATTCTCTATAAGCTGAATAAAAAGCAGAAACGTAAACATAATAAAAACACGATTGCAACAATATATGGTTTATGTGTGTTTTTCAAGTCATCTGCAGGTAATATGTAGGAAAATACAGGAACAAAATATTATAGAATATAAATTTGTTCTTGAGTGTGACGCACTCACGTTTGAGCTAATTATGTGCTGTATGTAATTTGATCAATGTTTATATGTGAATAAATGCGTAAATTAAAATCTACTTTACATATAAAGCGGCCGGTCATGTCTTGTAGAAGACGTTTGTGTAACACTTAAGGTGACATTTTCCAAACCTTATGTTATCCTTAGGAAAATATGACGTTTCACCTAGAGAAACCCTTAAGTAACATTTAAGGGATATTTTATGCAACTTTCCCTTAAATGTAAGGGAAACTTAAGGGCGATCTTAAGGGAAAATTACATTTAAGGTGCTTTATGCAACCGGGCACTGGTGCTCAAGAAACATTTCTTATTATTATCAATGTTAACAGTTTTGCTGCAAAATACTTTTGTAAAATATTAAATATTAATACAAAAATGTTAAGCAGAAGAACTGCTTAATATCTGATAAATATAAAGCTCAAAATAACACCATTTACTCTCATAAAGTTAATCTTTAAAACACCTATAATTTAATAATACTGTTAATTATGATCTTCAGCAAATCTCAGAATGAATATCCATTTTCATATTATCATCGTAGTGCCTTAATTTACTTGTAGCATTTAGTTTTTAGTGTATAAAATGAATTTTAGCATTGCCCATTTATCACTTGTCAGCCATAACAATCATTATCATCTTATCATATCACCCAGAATATTTAATATTGAAGCATCACTAGGTGGTCTCACCAACAATTTTTCTAAATGCTGAAGTAATGTAAATGGCATAACCTGTGTGAGCTGTGTTAAACCATGCACTTATTGATCCACCATCTCCCTCCCTGTTGATTGCTCATGTTTATGGTTTCTGATCAAATAAAATGGTCTTGCTGTGTGTTTACAGCTAAATGAACTCACTCACACTTTATTAACTCGCAAAATACAGCATGTTAGGACTAGGAGAGAGAGGGGGTACTCTTTCTTCATTCTTCACCTCTCCTGTGGATACAGTCTTTCTCTTCCACAGACAGACACAGTAAATCAGCTCACTGCCTCACTGTATCATGTTGCTACAACAACAGGCCACGGCCACTGCAGTTTTACATGTTCCCTGAGGAATCCAGACACACACAGTTAACACGAGCATCCTGGATGGTTGAGTTCCCATCACCAGATATCTAGAAAATAACACAACCTCACAGGAGCATTTAACCTCCATCACCTTAAAACAGCACAGAATGTGCACTGAAGTTATGAGATGCCTACAAACCCACACAAACATATAATTTCCAACAGAAGGTTTGTCTTGAATACCTGGATTTGAATTACTTTGGGGGGGTTTTCTGTTGAATCTAAGATGGATAGCTGGTGCGCAAGTGTTTTTCATTTGGCCTGAATCATGGCTGGTTGTGTCGTGCGCTGTGTTTTAATTAGACCGGTGGTGTCTCACCCTTCACAGTGACAAGTCTTACTGCACTAGACCTTTTATACCAAAACCAGAACATCCATTTGTTTGTTAACTTTTAAATGCATCATTATGCATAAAATATGAGCAGAGTTCTCGGCATGAAAGACCTGCGACTGGCAGATCAATGTGCTACTTCTTTTCTCTCCAATACGGTAGGAAGTTAAATGAAATGCAATGTGGAGGATGTTAACTGTGACAAGATGATTGACAGGCCAGTTTACAGTGACAGGGAGCTTGTATCTATGCGCCAGAGTGTCCGTTAAAGACGCAGTTGTGTGACGTGATAGTATGTCCCAAAGCTTGCCTACTCTTCTACTACACACTCAAAAGTGTGTACTTTTTCTTCACCAAAAGAGTACATACTTTAAGAGCGTAGTATAAGTAGGCACATTGAGATGCAGCATGAGTGTCCTACAACTCTGACTGAAATTCAATGGCGTCAAGGCTGTAATGTGATTGGTTATTAAGGGACACGTGATCCAAGTTAGCTGTTACGCTTTATCCAATAGTAAGTAACAGAGTGATTTTTTTTTATTTAAAGAGATTTACATATTAGTCCGTTTTATTCTAAGAATATGTAAGTTTGGTTTTCAAAAAAATATTAATTGTAAACGGTCTGCTTTTTCTGTGTTGATTTGTGTGTTTACACTGTGTGCTCCTGAGCTTGTCCTAAAACATGGCGGAATCCAGTGTGGCGTGACGTAGATTCCCATTCTCTATAAGCTGAATAAAAAGCAGAAACGTAAACATAATAAAAACACGATTGCAACAATATATGGTTTATGTGTGTTTTTCAAGTCATCTGCAGGTAATATGTAGGAAAATACAGGAACAAAATATTATAGAATATAAATTTGTTCTTGAGTGTGACGCACTCACGTTTGAGCTAATTATGTGCTGTATGTAATTTGATCAATGTTTATATGTGAATAAATGCGTAAATTAAAATCTACTTAACATATAAAGCGGCCGGTCATGTCTTGTAGAAGACGTTTGTGTAACACTTAAGGTGACATTTTCCAAACCTTATGTTATCCTTAGGAAAATATGACGTTTCACCTAGAGAAACCCTTAAGTAACATTTAAGGGATATTTTATGCAACTTTCCCTTAAATGTAAGGGAAACTTAAGGGCGATCTTAAGGGAAAATTACATTTAAGGTGCTTTATGCAACCGGGCACTGGTGCTCAAGAAACATTTCTTATTATTATCAATGTTAACAGTTTTGCTGCAAAATACTTTTGTAAAATATTAAATATTAATACAAAAATGTTAAGCAGAAGAACTGCTTAATATCTGATAAATATAAAGCTCAAAAGAACACCATTTACTCTCATAAAGTTAATCTTTAAAACACCTATAATTTAATAATACTGTTAATTATGATCTTCAGCAAATCTCAGAATGAATATCCATTTTCATATTATCATCGTAGTGCCTTAATTTACTTGTAGCATTTAGTTTTTAGTGTATAAAATGAATTTTAGCATTGCCCATTTATCACTTGTCAGCCATAACAATCATTATCATCTTATCATATCACCCAGAATATTTAATATTGAAGCATCACTAGGTGGTCTCACCAACAATTTTTCTAAATGCTGAAGTAATGTAAATGGCATAACCTGTGTGAGCTGTGTTAAACCATGCACTTATTGATCCACCATCTCCCTCCCTGTTGATTGCTCATGTTTATGGTTTCTGATCAAATAAAATGGTCTTGCTGTGTGTTTACAGCTAAATGAACTCACTCACACTTTATTAACTCGCAAAATACAGCATGTTAGGACTAGGAGAGAGAGGGGGTACTCTTTCTTCATTCTTCACCTCTCCTGTGGATACAGTCTTTCTCTTCCACAGACAGACACAGTAAATCAGCTCACTGCCTCACTGTATCATGTTGCTACAACAACAGGCCACGGCCACTGCAGTTTTACATGTTCCCTGAGGAATCCAGACACACACAGTTAACACGAGCATCCTGGATGGTTGAGTTCCCATCACCAGATATCTAGAAAATAACACAACCTCACAGGAGCATTTAACCTCCATCACCTTAAAACAGCACAGAATGTGCACTGAAGTTATGAGATGCCTCAAAACCCACACAAACATATATTTTCCATCAGAAGGTTTGTCTTGAATACCTGGATTTGAATTACTTTGGGGGGGTTTTCTGTTGAATCTAAGATGGATAGCTGGTGCGCAAGTGTTTTTCATTTGGCCTGAATCATGGCTGGTTGTGTCGTGCGCTGTGTTTTAATTAGACCGGTGGTGTCTCACCCTTCACAGTGACAAGTCTTACTGCACTAGACCTTTTATACCAAAACCAGAATGCTCAGCCCACTGAAAAAGGAGATTTGAGCTGGTTTTAAAATGATTTAGGGTACTTTTGAGCTGGTCAGGCTGCACATTCTTAAAAATAAAGGTTCTTTATTGGCATTGATGGTTCCATGAATAAGGTTTAACATCCATGGAATCTTTCCACACAAAAGGTTCTATATAGTGGAAAAAGATTCTTTACAATGTTCTTTACACAATAAGAAAATAATGATTCTTTAAAGAACTGTTCACTCAAAGATTCTTTGGGAAACCCCAAATAATTCTTCTATGGCATCTCCTTCTTTTGGAACCTGTATTTTTAAGAGTGTAGCAGACCAGCTTGCTGACCAGCTTAACCAACTGAAGACCAATTTACCCAGACTGTGAGACATCCAGACCAGGTTGTCCATCTGTTAGACCAGCTTAAACCAGACTGGTTTTAAGATGCCTTTTTAGTCATCAGTGAATTTTTTTTTAATAGTAAACAACAATCACAACCAGTTTCCCCACCTTGTGGAGCTTCCACATGGCCCCCAGCGCTTTGACCTCATGAGTCGCGTGTTTGCCGTCCTCCAGACACTGGTAGCACACGGGGGTCTTACACTGGACGCAGTACATACTCAGGTTCTCCAGCTCGTGCTCCGTGCAGGTGGAGATCTTTCGGGGGCTCGTGCGGCGGCTGATTCTGCCTTGCGCTGGAGGCACGAGTCGGTGTTTGGCCAGCGGACCCCGGGGCGGGTGGCATCGCAGGCGGCACGGATCGCAGTAGAACACGTCGCACTGTTCGCACATGACCGTCGCCTCGCGGGGGCTCTTCTCGCACAGCTGACACTTGAGCGCGGCCGCTTTACTCTGCTGGTACCGGTCCACAACCCCCTCCAGCACACGGTTCTTGGGGAAGCCCCGGAGCCCCCGGTCATCCAGCGTCAGGCTGCGGTGGCACTGCGGGCAGGTGAGGCAGGAGTTCCGCGGGACCGGCGGCAGGACGCCGGTGTGAGGCAGCAGGTGGTGTTGCGCCTGGGGCGGAGGATGAACGGCAGGGGGGAAAACGCGCACCCCGTTGGGGGACTTCTGGCACGGGGTGGTCGGTGCGCTCACGAACCCGCCGTAAGAGCCGTATCCGCTGTCCGCCTCGCTGTACAGACTCATCTTATCCAGGTCTAAGTAATCATAATCGGAGACGCCGGAGCCTGACGCGCGGCTGCTCTGCGGGGATTCGGCGTCGGGCGTCTGCACCAGGATGTTTCTCGCGCAGGCCAGGCAGATACTATGCGAGCACGGCAGGATGATCGGCTCGCGGAAAAACGAGCCGCACACCGGGCATTTTAACTCCTCTTCCATTTCATCCATCTTGTCGTTCGAGCCAGATACGGAGGCTTCCTGTAAACGAAAACGGAATATTCCCTCCGATGGCAGCTCTTCACGTTCACGTCTCCTTCGCGTTCTCCGTCCTATGCACCGGAGGATAGAGGAGGGGGCGGTATAAATTCGGTGGGCGTAGGCTGACTCCAGCACTGGTGCTCAAGCGCCAACAGCTACTGCATAAAATCGCTGTCAGTTTACGTGATGAGCTCCAGGAATCCAATCAATCTGATGATGCAAAGTATGGCAGAAGTGCTTGATGAATTTGAGACACAGCCAATGTTTGTGGTAGTGCACCTGCTCTAACAGCGCGCCTGATTTTCCTATCCAACAGCGCTTAAGGTGTGTTTATGTAGGCAACATCAAGTCACTCTTCAGCTCTAGTGTTTGACAGTCGGAGCTAAAGCTGAAATGTTCTCTCCTAATTGCTAGGTGGTGATAATTGCTCCAGGCAGACTTTCCATGGTAACCAAAAAGAGAGAAAATAGATCAAATAATCCAAAAGAGAACATTTGTGTCGATTCCGTCCGATATAGACGGTGAGCCAGTAGTTGTTGCTATGGTTACCTCTCAACAAAAACGATATCTGTTCAGTCAAACTTGTTTGAAAACGTTGTATAGCTACGTATTTGAAAATGTGTAGATAGCCTATGATTTATCCTACAATGTTTTTAAGACAGCCATAGACACTTAGTGAGCAGTTGCTGCTATTTTCACCTCCCAACGCAGAAGCAATTTATTTTCAGACAAAATGTTGTGGTAACTAAAAGATTGTTGAAAATTATTGTACACAAATTCTATACATTTTCAATAGGCTTCAATGTTTTCCAATAGCCTTTCGGTAGGCATTAGGTTGTTTTTTACTATGTCACCAAATGCGATTTGTGATTTTTTTTTTGGATTACTTAAATGTTGTTTGACATTGTCAACCTATTGTCTGCTCAGAAACTGCTTTTGCGTTTGGAGTAAACGATAGCAACTACTTCTCTAGTATATTGGACGTTATAACAAAATAGGCCCCATGCTTTGCTTATCAAATTATTATTGATTTACACATCACAAATAAATCACAATAACTGTGATGTTTTCTTTAAAACATTATTTTGATTGTTCTCTGTGCAAAAAAAGGTTGACCACCCTCAAAGACATTGTAAAATTGTCACAGTTTAACAGCTGAAAACAATGATGACATTCATTATTCAGGATCACTGACAGTAATACTGTGTTTTACAATAATTTGGATTATGTTTGTCAGCTGCTATTGATTTGACCAAATCTTTGACCTCTGTTTTGTGTTGTGTCATGTGTTTTTAGACACGTGTGAGCATCAGAAACGTGAGTGCTAGTAGAGGAGTGCAGGAGAGTGTGTGTGGGTGTATTGAGGTTGTTGTAGAGTGTGTGTGAGTGTGTGTGTTAGAAGGCCTGTGATTGAGTGCCATGTGAATTTTGTCCATGTGCCACTCTCGTGAGTATCTGTGTGAGAGAGACTTGGTGGGAGGGAAATTAATTGCTTAATCATTTTTATTCTTATGACAGTAATTGGGTCACAGAGCAGGCTCTAAACTGGGGCCAGTAGTTATTGAGGTTCTCAGAGCAGAGAGTCAGCCATATTTGCATGACAATCTTCAAGGAGATGCTTAGATCTTGACCTTCTTAAACACAAATTTATGGATCTTATAATATGACAAAACTAATTGAATTTGTATTGTGTAAATTTGAGTTATTGACAAGTGTCATTTAACAAAACTGAATATTATGTGGCATTTAACATAGTTCTGAATTAGATTTTTTTTAACTTGAATATTAAACATTTGAAATTTAACACAACTGAATATTTTTATGGCAGAGTTTTAAAGATATGTATTTTCAAACATAGATTTTTTTGTTGTGAAATCTTAGACTGCAGATATCCAGTATTTAAAAATACCGCTTTACATTTTCAAGATGAAGAGGAAATTCAGAACATTAAATTCAATATTCTAAAATTCAATAAGCAGAAATTCAGATTGTAGAGAAAGTAGGTTAGAGGTCATTCACAGGGAAGAGTAGATGATCTCCGAAAAGTAAAACGAAGCATTTTGGCCAATTAGTAGTTTTCTGGCGTGAGCGTGCGGTTCAAGATCTACCTGATGGTAGCCTAAGTGATTCTTAACATTTATGGTTTATATACTTATATGTTAGGTTAGCATTCTTAGCATGTGAAACAATTGTCTAAGCCAGTGGTTCTCAACCTTTTTTACTCCAAGGCCCCCCTCCTCTCCAGATCAATACATAGCCTACTTTGCTAAAATGTCACTGCAGATATTCTTTACAACTTAAAAGTATGTAAACCTTAATTGTACACAATCTTTAAAAAATAAGCACAAGTCACCCTGCCATACCAAACAAGACCACAGGGAGACGCCAAAGGACTGCATACACAGATCCATGCAGAATAACTAAACACACCAAAATACAAATGATAAATGAAACCATTCTGAATGTGTGGAAACTTAGCGATCGGAAGGTGGGTCTATGTCATCAGTGAATAGTTCCTCTGTCAGAATAAGCGAATTTGAAGGGTTTGATGGCCATATGTACATAACTAATCCTCAGAAACTTCTCCAAAACACGCTTCTTCAGTGAGCATCTGTTATAAAACACTTGTGGTACATTAATTTTGACAACTACATGAAATATGATGTTATAGTGATCGGACGCGAGCAGTGAGACGCGTCGTGACAAAAGACAGCAGAACCTATTTATTATAATCAATACTGTCTACACTGAATGCAAAATTCCCAACAGCAAACGGATTCCCCGTTATTCCTGACGTAGTCCAAGCTCTTTGCAACAGGCGCTTTGTCGTTTCAAACAGTCGCGTCTGTATAGTATTGCGCCGCGCCACATCCAGTGTAGGAAATATCACTGATTATAATCGATGGGCTCTACTGTCTTTTTTGCTTTCGCTTGTGTCTTGTGTAGACACGGTGGCATGCTAATCACTTTCACACCAAATAAACTTTAAAACAAACCGTTTTAAACAGTAAGACTGCTTAGACAAATGTTATTCCTGACGTAGTCCAAGCTCTTTGCAACAGGCGCTTTGTCGTTTCAAACAGTCGCGTCTGTATAGTATTGAGCCGCGCCACATCCAGTGTAGGAAATATCACTGATTATAATCAATGGGCTCTACTGTCTTTTTTGCTTTCGCTTGCGTCTTGTGTAGACACGGTGGCATGCTAATCACTTTCACACCAAATAAACTTTAAAACAAACAGTTTTAAACAGTAAGACTACTTAGACAAATCTTTCACATGCTGAGAATGCTAAGCTAACATATAAGTATATAAACCATAAATGTTTAAGAATCACTTAGGCTACCTCTGAGCGATTCATGATCAGGTAGATCAGAAAACTACTAATTGGCCAAAATGCTTTGTTTGACTTTTCGGAGATCATCTACTCTTCCCTGTGAATTACCTCTAACCTACTTTCTCTACAATCTGAATTTCTGCTTATTGAATTTTAGAATATTGAATTTGATGTTCCGAATTTCCTCTTCAACTTGAAAACTTGAAGCTGTGTTTTTTAAAACTGGATATTTGCTGTCTAAGATTTCAGATCAAAAAAATTGCTGTTTGAAAATACATGTCTATAAAACTCTGCAATAAAAACATTTAGTTGTGTTAAATTTCAAATGTTTAATATTCAAGTTCAAAAAATCTAATTCAGAACTATGTTAAATGCCTCACAATATTCAGTTTTGTTAAATGACACAAATTAAGCTAACATATAAGTATATAAACCATAAATGTTTAAGAATCACTTAGGCTACCTCTGAGCAATTCATGATCAGGTAGATCTTGAACCGCACACTCACGCCAGAAAACTACTAATTGGCCAAAATGCTTTGTTTGACTTTTCGGAGATCATCTACTCTTCCCTGTGAATTACCTCTAACCTACTTTCTCTACAATCTGAATTTCTGCTTATTGAATTTTAGAATATTGAATTTGATGTTCCGAATTTCCTCTTCAACTTGAAAACTTGAAGCTGTATTTTTTAAAACTGGATATTTGCTGTCTAAGATTTCAGAACAAAAAAAATGCTGTTTGAAAATACATGTCTATAAAACTCTGCAATAAAAACATTTAGTTGTGTTAAATTTCAAATTTCAAAAAAAAAAATCTAATTCAGAACTATGTTAAATGCCTCACAATATTCCGTTTTGTTAAATGACACAAATGACACAATTTACGCAATACAAATTCAATTTGTCATATTATAAACTCCATACAAATTAATCCAACAAAATTATGAGAGAATTGATGTCAATGGAAAGATTATAAAAATATGTGCAAAGCCAGCTGAAGTATAGGACACAGTGCAACCAACATGCCTGCACTGCAGTGCACACACATGTATTATTGCTTTAAAATATTATCTAAGACCGCATCAAACTGTATTTTAGTAGCATTGATATAATCTCATAGTTTTGTTAATATTTTGAAAGTTGTAGTAATTTTATTGTGCGTTTTGTCATTTTTAAATACAGTTTATTTTTAATATAGTTTTTATTAATAGTTTTTTTATTCATTTTAGTTTATTTAGTTTGAGTTATTTTAGTGCATCAAGTTAAACCAAATAAAAATAAGAAATGTTACTTTGGTAACTAGCTGATAAATATATATTTCATTTTGTTTCAGTTAATGTTTATTAATGAAATCATCTGATTTTTCTTTCACTTGACATTTGTTCTATGAATTATTTGTTGATAAAATGCTTATACTTAATTCTCCAAGCTTCAGAGCAAATAGGATACACTTGTACTATATTAAAAGCCTATACTTAAAAAAAAAACTCTATTGACCTCTGACCAAACTGTGCTTTTCCTCAAGCTACTGATCTCTAAATACCTGCAGGGACAGTGATTGTACTCGCAGCTGCACAGTAAACCTGCAACAGCTCTGCAACTGCTCTCTCTGGCTCTAAGCTTCAGTCTGTCCATCTGGAGCTGCTCTTGCTGAAGGAGGTAATGCTGAATCTTTTGAAAGATTTTAGAAACCTAAAATCTCCAGGCAGAAGGAGAAAGAGTCCA